TTCTGGCTTGGTTCCGAGGCCACTTGTCTCTTCTTGGGCTTCTTCCATAATTTGAACTTGAAGTTCGACCCATTCAACTAGGGTTTCAAAGTTATCCTCATTGGAATGTTTAATAAGCCAGTATTTGTATGCTTGAACATCTCTTTGTGATAACTTCTCTTTTGCGGTGAGATTCAAATTTTGCCCTGTCAGTTCTCTACCCGGTCCACTGTCTTGCAATGCAATCATGACACGTTCCAAAATGACCAGAAAATGTTCCATGTCTTCAAGGTTCCGTGACTTAATCTTTGGCATATCACGCAAGGCTGTTAAATGTTTAATCATCAGTCGTCTTTCTCCGCCATATTTCTTTTCCAGTTTGGACTTTGCTCTCTCATATGCATTCAGTGAGTAGCCAAGGTCTTTGACCATAACTAATGCCTTCCCAGATAAACTGCTTTGGAGGCATAACATCTTTTCACTAACTGGAATCTCTGCTTCATCGATGATGGACATGAATGCAGCTTTCCATGACTCATAGTCTGCCTTATTTTCGCCTGAAAAGTTTGGTAAATCCACACCTTTCAATTTAACTGTCCCATTTCTTTTGGCTGTTTCTCTATAATTAGGTTGCACTGAAGGTGGGGGTGGAAGCAATTTGATATTGTTGAGAGTGTTCTCTAAACTGTCGTGGTGGGAATTGGCGGTATGGTCAGCGGTTTCCGCTCTAATTTGGTTTAATTCAGTTATTTTTCGTGCTTCTTCAGCTCGTCGTTTTGTAAGCTCAAGTTCAGCTGTTCGTTTTTGCAACTCGTCTTCTTTCTGTCTTTGTTCTTGCTGGAATTGCAATAGTCTATCCTTTAGTTCAACATGTCGTTGTTCTAACTCTTCTTCTTGTCGCCGTTGTTCTTCTTGTATTTGTAAAAATCTGTCATTAGCCTCCTTAACTTCCGGATGTATCTGTTCTTCGACTGAATGAGGTTTCGATATAGTTGATAACGATACAGTAACTGTTTCAGCGTTGTCTTCTCGCTGTTTTATATGTTCGTAGGCTAATCTTTGGCTTTCGTCAACCAGAGCTCCAATTTCTTCAAGCTCTTTATCGAGATTTTCAATTAACGTGTCCGTATTTTCGTCGTGGGATGTACTAACAGCATAAATTTCCTTTAAAGCATTAATAATTTTCTCGATAATGTCATATTCTGAGCTTACCTTGTTAATAGCTCGTCGAATAGCATTCTTACTCGTCAACTGTCCGTATAATTGAGTGTTCAGCAAGCTTTTTAGTTGATTTCTCGCTTTCGTAAGTCTTCCTTTCGCTGACTTCTTTCGTTCTCGAAGAATGTTTTCGTTTGTCGCCATTTAATAGTCAAATTTTTCGAGTCAAATTCGTGGTCAAATCTCGCTATTTTTCCACTCTAGATCCGGCTCCAAAGGACCAAATGTTTCTCCATCGTGAGAAAAGTCAAGACAATTTATGTGGAAAAATTAACTTTCAGTTTTTTCGTGTATTAACAAAGAATTTACATAATATTTTAAAGGAATCACCAAAAATAAGCTTTCGATATGACAACAAAACGTTCGTCTTACGTTTTTGCGCCCGCGGTCCTTGTCTTTTGCGGTCGCATTCCTGATCTCTATTTTTAACTGGATGCTGTCATAAGGTCAGAAACAGTGTGGGCCATAGAAAAGTGTTGGGTCATAGAAAAGTGTTGGGTCGTAGAAAAGTGTGGGGCCATAGAATGGTGTGGAGCAATAGGACCATAGAAAAGGCGACTGAAACGCACACGATTAAACGTTTAAACTCCTGAACGTCGAATTCTCATTTCTGCACGATATAGACTTGTGATTACTATATCGTACTCCCCGCGTTGCACTTATATTTTAGTATTACTTACATTATGGAAACCGCCTTCATTCCACGGTTTTTACTTTCTCGGATCAGGAATGTACCATCTAGGCTTTTATCTAAATAACTTTTAACAGTGTCTCTATAAAATGAAATATGATGAGTTGATAAATATTTGTTCATTATTTATACCCTAGCCCCCCAAGGTATAAATAACGAACGGTCCCTAAGTACTACTAGTACTGGATTATAGTATTTCCCGTCCATGCTATTCACAAAGTCCTGATTTTTCACTTTGAGAAGCAAATCTATATGCCAACCTCGTACCCAGGGTTCTCTTTTTGATAGCAGTGAGCTGAAATCTATGCTTGTTATTATTATGCTCGACTATGGCCAAGCAACGTAGATATCGAAATATTGTAGAGAAAGGGTAGTTGATAAAAGTAAAAATGTATTTTAGTCAAATCAACCACGCTGCGATAGTATTCCCAAGCAAAAAAAGTTGTCAAGATTTTTTATTCTAGCCAAAGCAGGCCCAAGCCATAACACACCAAATGCTAATTACACTGAATATTGACTAATGCTCAGCACCCTCTATTACGCATCCTCATGCTACCTCGAGACCTAGATCGATCGGTACCTATATTACTACTGTGAGGGGGATAAATGGAATTCTTAAGGCCGTTTTCCACTAGGCGGAATTTTCCGCGCGGAGCGCAATTTCTCTTTGTCTTTTCTAATTAGTTCCACCCGAGAAATCACAGGACAAAGAGAAATGCCGCTCCGCGCGGAAAATTCCGCCTAGTGGAAAAAAGCCTTTACAGTATATCTCAGGCCCGCAGTAACAACCTGGAAGATGTAGATATTTTTCATGATCGGCTGTGAGCAACATTGAATAACTAATATCGCCGAGTGCATTAAGTGGCCATCGCACGCAGCACTCACATATGCATACACAAACATACACAGCACATTTTATACCTATCCAGAGCTCCAAATAACCAATATTCTGGAGAAAGGTTTACTTTTTCTTCCTCTTCGGTCATTGGGAATTCATAAATTCTGTGCAATGAGGAAAGATAAGATTACGGGTATGGCAAGGTAGGATATGGTGGAAAAGCAAGTGTTGAAGTATTTTATAGATAGAAATTTCGAGTGTCTTTATATATATTTACACCTAACCAGGAGCAGCTGCGAAAAATGAAACGATGGGTCCTCTGGCAGATAAATCATCAAGTAAGCTTCCCTCTTCTCAATAAGCCACTTATTTTAGAGAAACTTTTTAAGCCCACCCCTCTCTGCCTGGTATAACAAGAATATAATAATAATATATATAGTATATTTTTAGCATCTCACTCAATATCATGGTGAAAGGTGTTTTCAATATGGAAATTTCCAGTGAAAATTGCGAGTGAAATTATAATTTTACATTTTTTACACCTATAACCAGGAGCATGCGGTTCAACCTCAGGTAAGACCCTGGGTACGAGGTTGCTACTATTGGCCCTCTGCCTGAAGGAAATTAATAGTTGCTCTGTCAACTTTGGCAGGACCTGTAGTTTTCGCAACTGTTCCTGGTTAGGTCTCTAAAAATGGATATGATTTTCACTCGAAATGTCCATCCTGAAAATACCATTCAATATATATAGTATTTCCTGGCAAGGTTAGAGATGGTGAAAGTCAAGCCCATATAGAGTAGCAATAAACAGTACTTGAAATCTGTATTGCCAGCCAGAAGTTCCACTTCTTCGCGTCTCATCTCTTTCTCTTCTAAAAACCTGTAAAAGCAAAATTGTAATTAATAATTTTAGTATCGAACTAAGCCTCATTTTGTATTATTTCTTGGAATTAACAACGACCACAAATGCTAAAAAATAAAACAACTTTATTGTTTACAACGTTTCGGAGTGTTACTCCATCTTCAGGTAATAAAGATAAAAAGGTAATTGTCAAGCTATAGCTGGAAACAATTGAGCTTCCATTTTGCAAACTAATTCACAGTCTTTACATTTTATAAACCACGACCAGGAGTCAATATGAAGAAATTATGACGTAGCAGATACCATCTTGAAAAACAACAATACACGAGGTTTCGAGACTATGTTATATAGCATTAGACAAATAGATTGCTTAGACAAATAGATTAGACAAATAGATTGCTTGCTAGAATTATTTTTTTCTTCAGTCAACCCAAAGGCAGCCCAAAAATGCGTGGTATTTGTCTCTTTTATGTGGTCTCATTACTTGGAAAGATTTTGAGAGCTCGCGCGTGAAAATGTTTCATTATGTTGACTAAAAATTCAAAATTTCAAAGTCATTTTTCACGAAAATAGACTATACCATTGGAAAGTTCACAAGTAGTACGACTTAACTTACTAACTCAAAAGTGTACTATATATTCTTAGGGCCTGTTTATGATACTCCACACCTCCATCCCGTCCCGCATGGCTGGGATCATATAAACAGGCCCTCATTATATAAAAGCTCATGTATTTATCCCGACCCCCGCGCTCGAAACGTCGAAATTCTCCTTATATTTTCAGGTAGTTGCTAGCCTGCAAGCATGGCAGGCGGTTTTTTTACGGGCAGCGAAAATTAGGGAGGCAAAGGAAATTTCCTTCGCCTCCCTATCGCCTGCCACGCAGGCTAGGTAGTTGCATTCCTACCAACGAAAGCTTGTTAACAATATTTCCTGTCGTTACCAGGCTGTTTAATTAAACAAAACAAACAAAATATTTATGTTCAATTCCGTTATTGAGAGTCGCCCCTTAAATTAAAACTTACAACATATATTTGTCTTTCTTGTGCTGCAATTCCCAGAGATCTGGTTTTAACCTGTTCATTTCCGACTCAATTTCTCGCCTTTTTTCCGATTTTTCTAAACAATCCTGTTCCAAAGTCTTCAACCCTGATTGCTGCTCACTAAGTCGATCAACCAGAAGATTATAGTTGACATCCAGACTAAAAAATGAATGAGTTTGCCATTAACGGTCTTATCTGGAAGGGTATTAGGCCTAGGTTGAGCTCCTTCACGAAAAGTTAAAAGTTTCACTAGCAATGCACATTTCCAGTTTTGTGAAAAACACAAGAGTCGATGACTTAGTTTTAACTAGACGTGACTAAGATAGACAAAATGTTAAACAGAAAACCATATTTTTGTAAAAGAAAAGGGAATCTTTGCAATTATGTCAATAAAATATTTATGTATGGTCAGAGACATTTTAACAGGTCAGTCGGAAACCTGAAATCAACATTTTTTGTTTGGCCATACATTGAGGAGCTCTTTTCATTTCTGCGGTTCATTTTGACACGGGTACTCGTTTTAAGGGAAATGGGATCACGCGACCAATTCATGCAAAAGCCCTAATACAGACGCAACTGTCTTGACGATAGTTTATAAATAGTACGAACATATAGCAAAATATATATCATAATATACATACATGCTTAAATATTTAATTGATACACTGCATACCTGGCTCGTTCAGTTGTTGGAGCCTCTTTTCGAAAATTGATATGTATTTTAACTTGTTCTTCAAGAAAATTAATTAATTCTTTTTGTGCAGATATTGCTTCTTCAAGCGCCGCTATTTCCTACGACAAGAAACAAAACGCAATGTTAAATAACATGTTTTGTCTATATATATACTTAAACACACTGCATGGGTTACCAATTGAAGATGCACACCAATGTATTTGCGGCATAACAACAAGATATCACACGTACACACAAACTTTTGTCTTTCTAAATAGGTGTGTGTTTCAGGAAATACCATTCAAGAACGCGTTCACAATGAACCGAGAGTCAATTTTTAGGTTGTGCGCTGCATACATTAGTGCATTTTTGTCGTCTTTTCTCGATGTTCGATATATCGGATACTGTGCACTAGACTTTAAAACCTCTTCAACTTTTATTCGTTTCAATTTTCGTTTCTAATTTGTTTTCTGTTCAAACTAATCAGTTTTGCTGGTTAGGAGTTGTGTTGTCTTGACTTACTTCTTACCATGAGGCCCATGTTTCTCGGCCCCCATCCTCCCTGGAACGAGGATGCTCGGCCTCTTGAAACATATTCAGGTTGTGGGATACCGCCTTCTTGTATGACGAGGGGCTTAACTCCAGTTATGTTAAGCCCTCAAAGGAAATGGGTGTGGTATAGGCGTGGACGGGGTTTAACAGAAAGGGGCTTAACTCGAGCGGCTTAACTTGAAGATTTGCTACCCTGTATGATGATCCTTCGACTTCTGAAACCATATAGTTATCGATAAAAGCAAAGTGGACGAAAAGCTTACTTGCTCACACTCGAAACAGTTATCTGATAATTCTTCATATCTTGAAGACTTTTCATTGAAAAGCTCTCCAGCTTTCTTTAGTATATTAGCGGCTCTTTTCACCTCGGATACCTCCGTCTAGAAATATCAACAAGGTTTAGTTAAAAAAAAACGAAAATAAACTTTGGAGTTATAGAAGTGGCGAAGCTGGCCATGGCAACTGATCATGCTATGCTAAGTTGCTAACAAACCTGCATCTAAAACAGGCTAAAGACAATACATTTCTAAAGGTTTGAATAATGCAAATCATTAAAAATTTGAATAGCATGACCTGAATTATTATAGTTCCAGGTTATATAGAGTTCAGTGCAAACCCATCCTATGATCTCCTGTTTCATTGTCAATACCTGTCTTACCTCACGACATACTGGATACAGCAGCATAATGTCCAAAGCCGCACTGTACTCCTTAAGTGAGCGTGTCCGATAATATTCAATTAATTCTGGAACTGAATTAAAATCACAAGGTTCTGTGAAACCATATTTTCCATTTGAGTGTTCTATGCGGATCTGCTTACTGCTATCGTCTTTCCTAAACAGATTAAGAGGCAATTTTTTTCAATGTCGTGTATTTGCGATAAAAATTGTTCAGAACCTAAAATTTTTTTTGGCGTTCGGCGTTCCTCTCAAAATTACTTTGCTTTATTTTGTAGTTTACACATAGTTAGCAACCAAGTGTATACCTGGCGGTTGAGAAACACAGAATATTAAATATTGACAATTTAAATCATTGATGCTGTAAAATTGACGCCTTATTTATACAGCAATATTAGCAAAACTTACTGTATTTCGAAGATAATTTTCTCTTTGGCATACCATCTAAAATCTCTTCATTTTATCATAAATTTGCAGATAAAGTACGAAACATACTTTTTAAGTTTGTTTGCCACTTGATAAACGTATCAAAACTATTAGAAATTGAATATATAATATTCGGCTCAAAAATGGTAACAATTTCCGCACGTAATACAAACATATACTGTACAAAATATGCAAACTTCGCAAGGCTATATTTTCCGTATTTTACAACATTCGTAACCAAATTTTGCAATTTCACTACTTTTATAAGTTCTTTACGGAAATTTACTTTTTTGCCTAGATCAAAAATTAGTCTAACATGCAAGACTAGTTGTCTATTATACATATATAAAAAATTTCAGCATTTTCTAGCATTGAAATTTAAGCATTAAAATGGTCGCTCGCATGATATATGTGTTGTTCACTAACACGACATTCCTATACCTATATATAATGATATTTTGGATTTTTTAATGGACATACAAGAGAGCAATAATTCTTTTCAACGGCGAATATGGTAGTGGGAATGAATTTCAGAGAGTATAGACTCTAGCTTCCACTTAAATTTTACCAAATTCTGCAGCAACCTCGTTCATTCTGCAGTATCTCTTCTCTATTTTGCCCCAAAAGACAGGTCCAGTATGGCATACACATGCATACACACAAAAGCCTTACCTTAACATTAAGGTGTACCCATCTTCTCGTCGGCTGTCTCTTACCAAAAAGCTTCCATCCCTACAATCTGCTAGCTTTTCATTTGCACTATAATTAAAACAGGTTTAATTTAATTTAATCAAGTTATATACTGCATACCAAAAATAATATAAATAACAATATGTAGAAGGAAGAATAGAACTAAAAGAACCATACTAAGCTATTCCAGTCTAGGTATCCTGGCCCAGGTTTACACTGTAGAACAGTGCAGTCTACACACAGGGAAACTTAATATCATGTACGAGCTCTACAAGGGGCGGCGCTAGAGGAGAGGGGGGGGGATACCCCCAGTCGTCATGTAGTCAGCAAATTATTGTGTCCCAGTCGGAAAAACCTGAATTGGATAGGAAGGGAAAAAACTACAATATAGGAGTGAAACTGATTAAAAACTAAGAATTATACCAAAAATGTTGGGACATTTACGGAATCAATAAGGAAAAACTAAACGAGTGACGTTATAATATAATGTCCGGAACGTTTTTGGGGTTTAGGCGAGACCTCCCCCTCCGCCGCTCGCAAAGCATTTTGGGGGAACACATAATATTTTTAATATGCAGTGAAAATTGATTTATTCTAATTTCTTTGCAACCACAAGATTGAATTACGAAATTATTTACATTACATTACATTATTTACAAATTATCACTTACCCCC